TAATTGAATAAGTTCAAAAAGTTTGATCAGGTTTACCTCTACATTGTCAAAGATCTTTTTGTTTCGTGCCATCCACACTGACCATATAACTGCGTTCCAAATACAGTCCCACCCTTCTCTTTTGTGGGACTTTTTGGTCAAGGCACCAAAGAGCTGAAACGTCTTCTTGCATTCATTTTGTAGTTCTACCTTGATGCCCCACCAGTTTGTGCAAGCTCTCCATAGCCATTTGACTATTTTGCACTTCAAGAATAGGTGGCTGGAATTTTCCTCTTCCTCTTCGCACAGAACACATTTCCTTTCCTCCTCCTCCTTGATGACCCCACGTTTCAACAAATTTAGCTTGGTTGGGACTCTATCAAGTAATACCTTCCAGTTGAAAGCCGCTACTTTAGATGGAATGCTAGGATTCCATATTCTTTTATACATTTCTGCTTCCTCTTCTTCCCTCCTCTGATTTGTTAATAATGCGTAGGCTGTTGCTGTTGAGTACTCTCCGTCGGGGCTGTGTATCCACTCCCAATTGTCTGTGCACCCTGGGGATATTCTCACTCTCTCGATGATGTTTTGAAGTTCTTTTGTAGTCTCGTCTTCCCACTGATGCAAGGTTCTTCTCCATATCAAGTTCCAGCTCCATGTCCCATTGAGAGCCCTTCCCATTTGAAAGCATTCTTTGTCTTTACCTGTAGACAAGATGTACAATCTAGGGAATTTATTAGCCAAGCAGCTCTCCCCACACCACTCATCCCACCAGAAGCTTACTCTTTTCCCCTCACCGACCTTAATCCTAAAACCCTCCGTAAGCCATCATGCATTCACCCCATCTCCAGCATTTAAATTTTGGATGTCTGTCCACCATATTGAACCTCCTCCACTCCTATCCCTTACCCAATCCAACCAATGCCCTCCATTCTCCCCGTACTTACTAGACATCACTTTGCTCCATAGCCCATCTTCCCCTTTTGCTAACCTCCCCCACCATTTACCCAACAACGCCATATTGAATCTCCTCAAGTCCTTCACTCCTAGACCTCCACACTCCTTTTTCCTGCATACCCTCTCCCAATTAACCCAACTGATTTTTTTCCTCTCCCCCATCCCTCCCCATAAAAAATTCCTGCGTATTTTATCTAAAGAGAAGAGAATACCTTTAGGGATTTTGTCGGCTGACATCAGGTACACGGGAAGGCTAGACAGCACAAAATTTAAGAGAGTGATTCGGCCTCTCAGAGATAAGTTTTGCCCTTTCCAGCTAGCAAGTTTCTTTTTAAAGGAGTTTACCAGTGGTTGCCACATTGCTATCCTTCTGTGATTCCCTCCAACTGGAGTTCCCAAATACTTAAAAGGAAGATCTCCCGCCTTGCAACACAGTCTATAAGCCATCCTCTCTTTCCAACCCTCCTCAGTCTCGACCCCCATTATCTGACTCTTGCCAAAGTTGATTTTCAGTCCCGACACCAATTCGAAGGTCCTCATGATACTTTTTATTGCTTGAATATTTTCTTCCGAAGCCTCTCCAAAAACAAAGTGTCATCTGCAAATTGGAGGTGAGATACTAACAGGTTCCCGTTTCCAATCCTTACTCCTCTGAACATGTTTTTCTCATTGGCAGACTGCATTAATGCATTAAGCCCTTCTGCTACTAATAGAAATAGGAAGGGGGAAAGCGGGTCGCCTTGTCTAATTCCTTTGCTAACCGGGAATTGCTATGTTGGGCTTCCGTTCACTAGGATTGAGATCATACTTGATTGTAGGCCCTCATTTATCCAATTTCTCCAAGTGATTGTAAAACTCGTCCTCATTAGCATGTAATCAATAAAATCCCAACTTTGTCATATGCTTTTTCGAAATCAACTTTGAAAAGAAAACTCTTCTTCCTCTTCCTTTTTGCCTCATCGATCACCTCGTTTGCAATCACCACTCCGTCCATCAACTGTCTACCTTCTATGAATGCCATTTGCTGCTCCCCGATGATCTTGTCAAGAACTTTCCTGAGGCGATTTGCTAGCAGCTTAGCTAGGATCTTGTACATGACTCCAATGAGTGACATAGGTCTGTAGTCTTCGATTCTATAGGGGTTTTCAACCTTAGGGATCAGGGTGATGAAGGAGGAGTTGGAACCTTTGACCAGCTTGCCATGCTCGTGGAATTCTTGCACGAAGCCAATGACATCCTGTTTAATTTCCTCCCACATTGCCTTTATAAACTTGAAATTGAAGCCATCCAGTCCAGGGGACTTAGATGAGTCACAATCCCACACTACGTTTTTAATATCCTCTTTTAAGAAAGTGGCTGTCAAAAAATCATTATCTGCTTTGTCTATCTGTTTGAAGCTGATGCCGTCTAGCTTTGGTCGCTGCCATTCTTCTTCCGAGAATAACCCCTTGAAATAATTCATCACACCTTCCTTAATCTCATTCACACCTCTACATTGATCTCCCTTAATCTGAATGCTGTTGATTTCATTTCTTCTCCATCTGCCCTTCACACTTCTATGAAAAAACTTTGAGTTTGCATGCCCCTCTTTCAGCCACATCTTTCTGGATTTTTGCTGCCACATGCTCTCTTGGATCTTCATGTTCTTCCAAAGATCTAGGAATCCATTCCTTCTTTTCTCAATGTCTACTTTTGAGAGTTGGCTGTGCTCTTCTTTTTCATCCATTTCAACTATGATCCTTTCTGCTTCAATTATTCTTCTGTCAACTTCAGTTGTGTGATTAGCACTCCATTTCTTTAGGGCTTTTTTTGTTTCTCTCAGCTTTTCCTTAAGTCTGAACCCCTTCCACCCCCTCACCTCTACAGATTTCCACACTTTGCTAATTACTTCCTTGCAATCAGGATGTTCCAACCAAGCATCAAAAAACTTAAAAGGTTTTGGACCCCAATCTATCTTTTCATTTTTCAAGAGTAATGGACAATGATCGGAAACTGATCTACCCAATCCCCACTGTTTTAAGTCATTCCACTTTTGCAGGCATTCTTCCGAAACCAAAAACCTATATATCCTGCTCCTATGCTGTCCATTTGCACTGTGCCAAGTATATTTTCTACCCGCCAATGGTAGATCAACCAGCCCTGTGACATGGATAAAGCTATCAAACTCCCTCATTTCCCTGGTAATCCCACTGCATCCTGCTCTATCCCCTACTGTTCTTGCTGCGTTGAAATCCGCCCCCAAAACCCAATTGCCTCTTTTACTAGTGATCAGCTTGCCCAACTCCTCCCATAGCACTCTTTTTCCTTCTAGATGGCATGGAGAGTATATATTAAGGATGTGAATAGGTGTCTGGTCCTCCCCCCACAACCCAAACACCCCCGTGAAGTGTTTCCCCTCAATCACTTCTGTCTTTTTAAACACAGTTAGATTCCAAATACACAGCAAGCCTCCAGACAAGCCTTCTGATGGTTTATAAATCCAGTCAAAGTCATCAGACCTCCATAACCTTTTGCAAGTTCTTCTATCTACCACCTCCATTTTCGACTCTTGAATAGCTAAGAAATCTACTCCCTCTTTTTTAACTAAATCTCTTACTTTCCTTTTTTTTTTCCATCCCTCCTAGCCCTCTGATATTAAAAGATAGCAAGATCATTAAAATCTCTGCTTACCTTCTTAGCGTCTTCTGCCACTCTCCTCACCATATCTTCTTTGCCTTGTCTATCTCTGCCCTCCATTTCTTCAATTTTCTGCAGGATCTCCTCCTCATTTTCTGCTGTGGCACTTAGTCTCTTTGCTAAATCCCATATGTCTTTTGCCAGCTGATTTTGCAACTGCTTCCTCAGAGCCCGGTTGCAATTTTCGATCCCACTGTCGCCAACCGATTCTCCCGCGACCTCTCCATCTGGACTCACCATGAATTTCGGCACCCCCTTTCCCTTCTTTGGTTTCATATTTTGCCTTTCACACCGTTTCCCACTCTGGATTCCTTCCCCTGTTTTTCTCGCCTTGAGGTAAACCGAACTGCACAGCCAGATCTTCTTCTTTCTTTGTTTGACACCCTCCTTACTTCTTTGCATGCAGATCTGCGCCTGTTCATTTGCACTTGCACAATCCTGCCCGTTGGGATCTCCTTGTTCTTCTTGCGGCTGTTCATGTTCATTGCAAGAAAGTGCAGCTTTTCTTTCTCTCGAATGTTCCTTTTCATTGTCTGATTTTGACTTTGCACACCCTTCCCTAATACCCAACCCCTCACTTAAGGAGTCCACATAGCATGGACTGTCCTTTTGTGAGATGGGCTTCCCAGAAATGCCCAACTCAAGTCCCTTTTGTAAGCCCAGCCTCTTTCGTCCAGCTTTGGCCTGCTGCCCGACCTTGTCTCTACTTCCCGCCTACTGCGTCCCCTTCTCTTCGCTTAAATTGATTTTATTTTTGTTCAAAATTTGAATCTGCTCCAGGCTGTCCGCCACCTTCTCAACTGTCCCCTCATCCTCCTACAGACCATTTCTAAGGACCATTTCGTACGACTCCCCTTTGTTGGATGCCACGTCATCATCATCTTCCTCATTCTCAGCTGAGTCGTCCTTCGCCTGTTCTTCCTCCCCTGCACTTTTACTAGCACAGACCTCATTCTCACTGTCCATTGACCATGTTTCTTGTTCCTCTGAGTCGCTATTAAAGAAGGAGATGAAGTCCTGTTTCAAAGAGAAGAAACTATTGGTAAATTCCTCCTCTGTGAACTTGAGCTTATATACGGACCCGTCAATTTTGATTTGTCTTGTCACTGATATGGTGTTCATAACTGGAGTCGAAATTAAAAATCTAGCTATGTCAAACCTCCTCCTTTGACTTGTGCTATCATCAAGACAAATGAACTTGCCCCATGAGCACCACATCGAAGCAAAGAATTTAGGCCCCCAGACGTTTAATGCTACACCTTGACATTTGATCCAAACGAATCTTTCTTCCGCTACCATATATGGGGTCCAAGGGCGAACCTTCTCGAACCATTGGCCCAGCCACTCTGATGCTGATTCTACCAGGTCTTTCAGCTCTTCCTTATCCTCACAGTCCATTAGGACCAATCTACCCCCCATCGCTTGAATTCTACAGGAGAAATACCTTTCCATGTAGAATTTTTCCTGCAGGTTTCTAACCATTTCAACCGAATGAGTTGTGCCCACATAACAACCCTCCAACCATGCGATATCTTCTTGATTAGTGTTGTATTCAAACCCAGCCCAAGAATCAATCCTTCCTTTCTCTTGCCATACCTGCCTGTTCGAGTGTTGCACTTTCAGGACTTCTGCATAGCTCCTGTTTTGTACTTGTGGCTCCGAAATGAGTCTGGATTTTGTTTCCCTCCCTTCTTGTTGGTTGTCTTCATATCTTGGGGAGTTTACCCACAGTTTGCAATCCCCAATCCAGATATTATCTAGTTTTCTTTCCAGCTCTTTTCTATTCTTCACATCAAGAAATCTGACAAAGCCAAACCTGCCACCATTTCTGCTTCTCCTCTTTGGACTGTAAATGGCATATACCCTCCCGTATTTTAGAAACGTTCTCCACATGTCTTCGTATGTCCATTCTTTTGGGAAGTTTGTGAAGAAATAAGGGGTCGCTTGTTTGTACAATCCCCAGTCGTAAGAGTCTCCCAGCTTCCCTTCAAACGCTTGATTCTGCTCGTACTGCTTCTCCCGTAGCTGGTCTGGTAGCCCCCTTCTCTGATGATTTCTCTGCTGAGATCTACCATTCTCTTTACTCTGTGCCGTCTTCCTAGTCCGTGCCCGTCTGTCACCTTCTCTCGTTCTCGCTCTACCTCTCTCTCTCATCTTCTCTAAGATTTTGGTCTGCTGATATAACGAGAACCAAACATGATATATAATTTGAATTGTGATTAGATGTGGGTGAAAGTTACGTCAATGAAGAACCTTTCATGTAACTTCGACCATCTCCAATTTCTTGTATCATTTGACCATTAATTTGAGGCCCACATAAATCGATCTGTGCCTTGTCATATGATAAGGGACTGGGAGACTTAGGTGTGACACACCCGAGGTAAGAAATTTATGGCTCGTCCAATTTCAAAGCAATTATCTTTCTTCATAGAGGAGTAGATTTGTTCAATTCATGAAACATGATTGTATGTTACTATTATTGGTATAAAAACATAAATGAGGGATTTTTCTCAAGGAGTAGTATCAAAGTAGTGTTAAATTTCCTAACAGATAAGTCCCCCGCGGCCCATCCCCCAGCTACCATTCATTAAATTGAAAGTTTCAATTTTATTAGAAATTCAATATAGTTTTCTTTACATATTTTAAGATTTGAATTGAAATTTCTTATATAAAAATTTAAACTCTTAATTATTAAGATGTCCATTAGAAAGTTACATAATAGCCATTTTTTTGGTTTAGGTCCTTTCACAGAGAATGGATTCCACATACTCCTCCATGCTTTTTAAGTAATTTTTATCATAACCGTACACTAGGGGAACCATTCTTGCAATATTGAGGGAAGCCCTCCTAAATGAAGATGGAAATGGATTTGAAGAGAGGAACTCCTGGTTCAGCTGCTTCCAAGCCTTTGAAATCATTTGCATAACATGTTGGCGTGCATCCTCCATTGTAATGCCTTTATGTTCCTTCATGTAGCAATCCACATAAGATCCATCTCGGCCATCTTGATTCTCATCCTACAGTATGCTTATACAAAAGCGTTACAAGATAACTCTCTCATCTTGCATATGTAGCAAATGGTTGAATGAGTTATCTTACCTTGGCACTTCCCAAGTCATCCCAGAGTCGAAGAATTGTGGCCGTGGATGATATTATGCCTGGATTGTTGTTTATTAACTCCATATTTTCCTTGGTAATATCTTGACCCAACAGAAAGAAAACGTGTACTAGCACCACATATACTCCTGTGCTGATGATCCCATTCTTCAAGTACTCCTCAGGCTTTGGGATCTCCCCCGCAGCAAACCATTTTGCTTCCACCAGAAATGCATTGCATAAACTTGCCCACTGCAGCCATATATGAGGGAATCACTCGTAAGCTAGTTTTGAATGTTTATTT